GCAGCCCTGCCCAGCCCACAGCACCTGGCCAGCCCACAGCTCTATGCAGCCCTGCCCAGCCCACAGCACCTGGCCAGCCCCACAGCTCTATGCAGGCCACAGCCTGCCCAGCCCACTCAGAGGGGTCCAGGCCCCTCTTTGGTCCCACTCGCTCACTGAGCAGCCACCTCCTTCTCCACCACAAAACCCACTTGTGGAGCTTCTACAGGATGAAGCGAGCTAAGGCCATGAAGGAGAGCGGGCCGCCCAGAGCTCAGCCACCTGAGCCACAAGATGCGGGGCCTTCACTGGCCTCCCGTCCACACGGACGCACTCAGAAACCCCTCGACAGTCCACACCTCAGAGCTCCAGGAGGGAGCCCTGGAGAGGCGGGACCCTCGGACACCCCAGCCCCTGCCCTGGAGAGGGAGGGAGGGGAGGAGAGGAGAGGCAGCTCACGGGATGTCGGGTGGGGCGAAGGCCGTCTTGATGACGCCAGCGTAGATGGCCAGGATGGACAGCACCACGCAGGCCAGGAAGACCAGGGCCAGCTTGTTGACGTACTTCACCCCCACAAAGACCACCACGGCCATGAGCGCCAGGGTGCAGCTGCCGTAGACGCGCATGTTGTGTAGCATGGCTACCGCATCGCCACCAGCCGTCTCTGCCTGGAAGATGGCTGCACTTGGGGAGATGTAAGTCTACAGGACAAAATCAGCTTGGTCAGCCGGAGGACGCAGCGCCCTGGGGCCTGCATCCGGCCCCGGACACCTGCACGCTGCCCGATCAATCAAGCCGCGGTGAGCGTCTCGGCGCACAACCAGACACTCACAGACACTCAGCATCAACGAAGGAGCCCAGGGCACAGTACCTGCAAGGAGACCACTGCACACACACTCACCAAGAAGATCTCGATGGTGCCCAGGATGTACATGGCTCCTGCAAAGGTTGTACCCAAGTAGAAGCAGAGCCCAACAGCGCCTCCAAATTCAGGCCCCAGGGACCGGGAGATCATGTAGTAGGAGCCGCCGGCTACAAAGCAAGCCAGAGAGAAGCAGATCAGGACAGACTTAGTGCAACCAATACTGTCCACCAACAGGGAGGGGAGCACTGTGTGTCTGTGTGTCTAGGGAAGGGGAGCACTGTGTGTCTGTGTGTCTAGGGAAGGGGAGCACTGTGTGTCTGTGTGTCTAGGG